ACATCACCCGCGGAATAAACACCAAGTCGGCCAAACGCAAATGGTAAGGTGGTAAGCTGTCACTGCCCATATCGCCAAACCCAGGCCCCGAAGCAGTAACGATACGCTCCATGGAAGATCGAAGAGCCTCGTCAAAAGTGCACTAAGCCACCTCAAAAGTACTAGGAGGACAAGTAAACAAAGCAACGTAGAGTTTAGAAACTTCGATACATGCCCTAAGCAACAACAGCTCGCACTAGGGATCATTGAGCTTAGCAACCTTATCCATAAGAGCAATGGTCTTGGTCACCCACTGCATCACAAGCTCACCACTAAAATCAGAATCGAAATTGGCCAGACCACCAACCAACTTAACACCACACAATGGTCTAGCAATATTAGGTGGAAAGACACCCATAAACCTGCTCCGAGGGTCTTTTATAGGCCATAAAAATTCAGTTTTTTCCACGTTAAGATGTAACCCAAAATGAGGCCCTTCCTTCATAATAATTTGCAAGACCTTCCCTGCCACCAACGTGTCACCAATAAAATTACCATCATCCAAATACCAAGCCTGAAGACATACATCAAAAGTGTCTCTAATTTTACACACCATGGGTTGTAAAACCAAAACAAAAAGTAGAGTACCAATTCAAGGGGATAACCCTGCTGCACCCCCAAAGACGATCATAAGGTTTGGTCCCCATAATACAATCTCGCTGGATTAGAATAACAGAATTCCACCCATCACGAAATGGCTAAACAACGATGACGAACTTCACATAACATGACCGAACAATCAACAATATTAAAGGGATTTTGAAAATCCACCAACTACATAGAAAGACCATAACAGAATTGCTCACCACCTGAAGAAACCCCAATACCAAATTGAAGACCATCAAAGAAACTTCCTAAAGACTAGCCAACCATAAGAACACCCACCTTTGAAACCAGACGCCGCCAAATAGTATCCACATCAATAGAACGAATACCACCACTAGGCCTGACAAGGGGTATAAGAGGAGCACTAGCAATATATTCTCCTAGTTGCATAGGACATCTTCCAGCTAGAAAGAAATTAACCACCCTAGAAATAGAGTCAACTAACTCATCCGAGATAGCCACAGCAGCACCACTCAAGCAATTTATAAGGTTCTAAGCACGTAAACCATCCCTATCTACCACTTGATGTGCCATGTGGAAAACTCTTAATATGATCTAAAATAACAGCAGAAGTAGTAACGAGATGAAGGTGGTTAACAGGTATATCAGGCAAGGATGGTGTTGGAGAAGTAGGGTTTTAGACAATCCGCAAGAGTGGCGTCATTATAAGGAGCAATGCCTGAAGAACAAAGTATCCAGAGTACATCGGTGTAATGGCCATCACAAATCTTCCTACGACATTGCTTGATATTACGCTCCTCCAAATCAAGGTCCTCATCATCAACTAATGAGAAAGTAGAAGAATCCCCTTCCAAAGTATCCCTCATAAAATGCAAATTACCACCTGGTGCACTCTAGCAACAAATACCACACTATGGATTTTGCACCAATCCACCCATGTTTCCCAGCTGAGCTGTATGAGAGAGAGCTTGCGGCTTAGAGAAACCATGAAGCACAAAACGAACAATACCATCTCCTTCATCCGGGGGTGACACTATATCATCCGCGCTATGATGACACTTAGTACGATGCGTATGCGTTTTGTAACAAACTCCACATAACCAAATCCCCATACTCAAAAAAGTAACTTCAACTTCAGTATAAACAGCTAAATTAGAAGTAAGAGAATGTCGAGTGATATTCCGCGCACCAATACAAAAATGACGATCACAAAGATGCTTAATAAGAGAACTTCAAGTAAGGACATTACCACTTCCATCTTGACAGCCACTAAGACCCACAAAAGGACAATGAAACTTCATAATATCAGCTGACATAGCTACACACAATTGCCAAAAACTACAACTGAAACCAGCCGCATGAAATACCTATAAAACCAAGACACAACAACCACAAACTTCCCAAAGGCTAACACACCCGAAAAGCATACCACTCCTTGAAAACAGGACCCAAACATACCAAAACTACACCCAAAAGTGCACCAAAAATACACCCAAAATCCTTAATAAATGGCAGAAAAGTGGAAGCTGCCTGAAAATTAACACGAAACTTGCCTGAATGACGCCCAGAAATTGCCCCTGAATTACACAGTAAGTGCCTAAAATTTGACCAAAATACAACGGGTAATTGATGAGGCAGCCGGAGCCTTCGCTTGACGTGACCCTGCGCTGGAGATGCTGCCAGAATTATGACGTGGAAGCCTAACTACCCAACCCTATTATTATTATTATTATTATTGTTATTATTATTATTAATTATTAATTAATTAAGTTTAATTATTGATTATTAATTACTAATAATCGTTAAATAATGATTAATTATTATTAATCACTTCCTATTAATTAGTAATCAATTAATGGTATTTATTACTATGTAATTAATTACTAATTAATAACTAATGAATATTCTCATTTGATTGTAATAAAGGAGAGGATACATTTGCTTGTAGATAAAATGGCATACCAAAGGATCAATGTGTTGTGATAGGGGTATCCATCATGTGTGTGACCTGACCCATAAATTGTTAAAATTCTCTAATTATAAAGTAAGAGCCATAACTGGGGTTTTGTATAGTATGTAAGCCACCCTGGCCTATTAAGGATTTAGATACCCATTATCTAGTAAGAGTAATTCTTCGTGGAAAGAATAGGTTTACTAAAATAAAGAAAGATTGGATGTACACATCAGCATATGTATTTAAGGAAATAATTCAACAAAGGTACAGAATCAAGTGCAAAAAGGTAAAAAATCGATGCAAAGAAAAAACGATTTCTTACCTTTTTTAACTTGATTTTGTACCCTTATTGATTTATTTCCTAAAATACATATGCAAAAAGGTAAGAAATCAATATTTCCAAAAAAAAAAAAAATAGGTAAGAAATCAATATTCATTTTATACTAAAGTAGGAAATAATATAAGAGGTTTTATGTTAACATTTTAGGATAAATAGACTAATTAATTTTATTTAACCAAAACCAAAGTGTTTGTGTGTTTTATATTATAAATGTGAACAATCACCCTTAATGAAAATGGATGTGGTTAAATAATGAAATCATAAGCTTTTAACTAGTGTACTGTATTGTCGTCATACCATTTTTTTGTTATGTTTTACTTCATTGGGGCGGCTAGGGGTCATAACCCGAGCTATAGTTGGAGAAGTATTTGGGGGGCCAAGGCTCTCCTTCTCGATTGAATGAAATGGAGAGTGGGGAATGGGACATCGATAAAGGTCTGGACTGATGCTTGGCTGCCTGGGGAAGGGAACTGTCGGGTTCCTACTCCGTGTAGTGACAGCAATGCTAATTTGCGAGTATGTGATTTGATTAACTTTGAGCAGGGATGGGGAATCGGGAAAAGGTGAGAGCTGGTTTCAATGAGGCGGACTGCAAAGCTATTCTGAACATACCGTTGTCAAGTAGCTGGACTGGTGATAGAAGATACTGTGGCCGACCTCTGATGGTATTTTTTCAGTTCGCTCGGCTTATTAGCTTGGAAGGTTTGGGCACATGAGGACTTGGGAATTGTTTTTTGGCGCAAGTGGGAATGAATTGTGGAAGGTTGTATGGGGTTTGGAGGGTCCTCCCAAGTTGAGTCATTTTATTTGGCGTGCGTGTAAAGGCTCACTAGGTGTTATGGAGGTGCTGCACTATAGACATATCGGGGACTCAAAAAGGTGTGGGGTTTGTGGTGCGAATGAGGAGACTATCTTGCATTCCGTATTCAATTGCAAACATAGTCTTCCTATTTGGGCGCATAGTCAATTTAATGATTTGCTCAATGCTGCTCAGATTTCTTCTTTTCGTGAGCTGTTTGTGTGGGTTGCGAGTAAGCTTCAGAAGCCCCAGCTACGTGTGTTCTGTTCTCTTGCTTGGGCAGCGTAGCGTTTCTGGAACATGGTGATTTTTGGTGATGGTGATTTTGTTAATGGGGTCAAGGTAGCCACGGGTTTTGTGTCTTACTGTGAAGAGTATGGGGTGTATAACTCAAGAGTGCGTGGAAGGGTCTCTATTGGTGCTGCTGTCCCTTCTGGTACATGTTGAAGTCCCCCTGATGAGCACGCTGTCAAGGTACGGTAAATGTGGATGCTGCTATATTTGGTAAGGCTGGGGTGGGATTGGGTGATGTGATAAGAGACAGAAATGGGGGGTTGCTTGCTACTGCTGTGAAACGACTAAGCTGCTGTTGGGAACCTGCTACGGCAGAGGCTGCTGCTACCTCATTTGGTTTAACCGTGGCAAGAAGTCTGGGGTATTTGGATGTGGTGCTTGAGTGTGATGTTGTTAATGTGGTGCGTGTGATCAGACAACAACAGGAAGGAGCTGCTCCGATTTTTATTTTCTTTGAAGATGTTTTCAGAGCTTGTAATTCATTTAATAGCTTTAAGTGCATTCATGTGAAAAGGTCTGGTAATACCGTTGCTCATTTAGTTGCTCGATGTGAAACGGATATTAATTCGGCTCGTATTTGTACCTCTCTTTTCCCCCAAAGCTTTCAAACTTTGGCGGATCTTGGTCTAATGAATTAATATGCTCGTTCCGTTGCTCAAAAAAAAAGTTTCTTTGTATAGATTGCAACATGTGCACAATAAATTTAACTACTCATTTCATGCCTTTAAATTAATTTTTTTTGTAGGTAATTAGCCATAATAAATTTCATGTGTTTTATATCATACTTGAATAAGTTTATGTGAAACTTTTAAAAACGACAACATTTAAAATTTTAAGTCACTACTATATTAATTAAACAACAACTAAACAATTAAGTACAATACTTAACATATCAAAGGTAAGCAAGTATAATACAATACAAGTATTGTACAATAATTAATGACAATGCAAGTAAAAAACAATAATTTTTAATGACAATAATTGACAATAACAAAATTTTGTGCTGCTTAAAGATAACAATACCACATATCATATATGGATAACTTAGGCGAGCTTAATAAGTCCAATACAAGCATATTCCTAAGGATAATAGAAAGTTTACATAAAATGAAACGACATAGATATGAAACATATAAATAAAAGACAAAAAAACTATAATGCTCAGCTATCTAGCATGCAAGCTAGTTTCATGAACACAAGGTCCATGACAGGTATGATAATCCGGTTGCGAATATTATCAAAGGGAGAGGTCTAATGATAAAATCTCTTCTTAATGTGATATAGTAGAAGTGCTGCCAACATTTCAGCCTCAAAGTTAAATCCAAAACACCTTTCTTCCTCTTCTTCGCCTTTGCGTTGGAACTTTCGTCAGCAAGGTCTTTGAATATCCAATAAACATATTCCTTTTTATTGGCTTCTCCTGGTACTTTTATTTCAATAGAAATAGTTCTTGGGCTCTCAACAATAATGTTACACTTTGTTAGAAGTGATGATTTTTTATTAATTCGATTTCACTTATTTAAACTTAAAATATATAAATAAACTCGTCTGCTTTTATAAGAACTTGTTTTATATGTAAATTTAATTCTCGAGAAAAAAAAATATCACTTTTGCACAAAAATAATAACAAAACATAGAATGATATTTAAAATTAAAGAAAAGGAAACATAACAAGTACCATATCGAATTCTTAAAAAAATAAATATGGAGTATGGAAATGGACGGCTTCCTCATTCAAATGAGAAAACATGTACTGAATACTTAAGATTTTACTTGCACTAACTTTATCATTTCTCTTAAATTAATTTTTTAGGGGGGGTGATTGAAATTAAGCGTGCATGTTTGAAAAATTGAAGAATTTAATAATTCAACTATAATAACAAGGATGAATTTAAAATATATAGTATGTTCATATACTCTTCTGGTATGAGCCTTAGAAATTGACGAATAAAATAACATACAATTAAGCACAATAAATAATATAAATAGAGTTGTTTTAAAAAATTAAAAAATAGAGAAAACGATGAAGTAATACGTATATAATAGCATAAATAATGCTTGATGTCGTGATGATTACCTTTATTCTTTAATGCACGTAGCTTTTTTCGATACTTTTGTTTGGTACATGAAAATTCAAGGAAAACAACTTGTTAATTAAATACAATTAGAAGCTAATCAATAAAAAAAATACGAAAATGACATCAACCTTTACTGAAAAAATACAGAGAGATAAAAAAGATATAAGATCCCAGGCTATATGAAAAAAATAAACGAGAGATTAAAAAAGAAGTGTACTTTCAAATGATTACTAACTTGCTTCAGAGTAATTCCATCAGCTCGCATCTCAAGCCAAATTTGTTCAGGGATAGCACCTGAAATACAACCATATCCACAATTGAATTTTTAATAATCAACACACACACAAACTACACATCTCAAGATTAATAAAATTATATATATTTTTCTATATCAAATTTCATGGATAAAATTAAAATTAGCATAATTATCAACTTTTTATAAACAAGGATAAAAAAATAATAATAAGAATAATCTAATAATAATGTTGTAGGTGGTAAAACTTACTTTTTTCATCACCATATTTCATAATAGCACAGGCGAACTTACGCTTGAAATCATCAGACCAAAATAACCTCATTTTATTTTCTCTAATTAACGATTGGAAATGGTAGGAGAGAATAAGGAAGAGAACATGGATATGATGAGGGGGCTGAGAGAGGCGGATAAGTGATAATAAATAAAAATAATGCAACAAAAGGGGTATAAATAGAGAAGAATCTAATTAAATACGCGAGTGTTATATCTTATTACACTTTGCCTTTTACATACTATAGTAATATTCCGCACTCATACAACTAAAACAAATGGAGAAAAGCGACACAAAAAGAAAAGAAATCTCTAAGATTGTTTTTGTAATTTTGTTTACACTAGCTATGCAAACAAATTAATTAATATAGACAAATTAGGCTGAAATTTGTATTCTTTTCATTTGTTTTTATCAACCCACCTTTTTAATATTAAAATCAATTTATCAAATAAATAATTATACGACATCTATAAAAGAATACCAAGTTAATAAACAAATGATAAAACTTTTAATTAAATAGAAAATATTGATTTAAATATTGCAACCTTAGCCCCGTTTAAATCTAATAATCCAACCTTAGGATTATTGCAGACTAATCCAAGCTTTGGGCAGTCTTCAATTCTGTTAGACCAAATTGACTTGTTACCTTAAGAATAGGTTATTTGTTTATTTAAATATTTTTTGAAAACTTTTTATTTCATTTATTTTCAAAATTATTTTTTTCTTTTAAAAAATTACTTTCTCTCTCTTCCTCCCAACCACCCTCCCCCTAGCCTGTTCTCATCCACCTAGCTGCCACCCCTAACGCCCATGTTCCCAACCACCTTGATGCCCCTAGCTATTCTCCCAACTACCCTTATCCTATTTCCGGCCAATGCCTACCCACAAAATTTGCCGAAATAACCACCACTTATCCCCTCTCTGTCAGTGGCACTATTAACGGGTTACTGGTCATGAGTTACATATCAAAAAGGAGGGGAAGAAGGCTTTCACTTCTAGTATTAATGGAGTTTGACGGGTTTCGGGTTTTGGGGTTTGTGGTGGCTGAAGTTTTGGGATCATCACTTTGGGTGGGTGCGGGGAAAAGGGATAGGGAAGGATGGTCGGAAAAGTAAATTGAAGGGGAGGAGAGGGGTGTACGGGAAAGGGGTTGTCATCTCCGGATGTAATAGAGGTGGAGGTGGAGGAAAAGTGGAAAGGAAAAAATGAAAATTTAAAATAATAATTGTAGGGAATAATTTAAAGCGTTAACCCCTAGCTTGAACCCCACTGTGATCATACACTAAAGTACGGTGGCGTCCAAAAGGAAAGAAGATAGAGCAAAAGAGTCGCCAACAATTTTTAGGAACTTGTAAACTATTCATAGGATGAAGGTTACACCCCTTAACGATCCAAGAGATCGTCAACTCCATGAGGTCTAGAACCAAATAAGGGTTCGGGGATGAAGGTACAAATCCAACCTAAAAGAGATTGAACCTGCCCTAATAATAAGCCTCTACTTTATTCTGATTGTATTCATGTGCGCTTTTCGATTAACATGCAATCATTAGAATTAACCCTAAACCTGTTTATCTATGTTGGTTGAATTTAATGCACAAACAAATCTATTATTGACGATCACTTGAATTATAATCACATTAACCCTAACAAGATTATTAAATATCTTATTAAGCGTGATTACAAGTACAAATTTCCTTTAAACATGCATAAAAGGTGTGATCAAGCAATAAATATCAAGCAACATAATAATAATCAATCATTAGAATAAACATGAATAATAATAATCATCATTAAAATAATAATAATAATATTCATAATCATCATAAATTATAACAATTATAATCATAATCATGTTCATGTTAATATTAAAGCATAATATTAGCAAGATCCTAGGCATGATACTAACAAGATTAATAACAAACCCTAGCATGTCACTAAGCATTAAAAATCAAATCTTTAGCCCTAACATGATACTAACAATCATAAATATTAGGAAGAGAATAAAAGGTATCATAGCAATCATATTTAATATTAAAAATAGCCTAGACATGATACTAGGAATATCATAACAACAATTTAAACATGATTTCTACATCATAACATCAATTAAAACCATTAAAGCACTTATTTTGATGCCTCGTTAGGGATGGCAAACAGATCAGGTCGGGTCATATTCGTGTTCGGGTCATTTCGGGTTCAGGTTGAAACCCCCTGACCTGAACCTGATCTGTTTAGCATTTCGGGTCGAAGTTCTTGACCCTAACCTGATTTATTCGGGTTCGGGTCAACCCGAAGTTGACCTTATTCAACCTGAATTTTTATTTTTTATTTTTTTTTGGTGGGTAGATTAAAGAAAAATTTATTACCAATAAAAATCTTAAAAACAAAAAGAAATCAATACAAGTTGAATCTCAAATTTAAATCTGTAAATCATAAATAAATTTAAATGTAATAAATTTACAATCAAAACTTCCAATTAAAGGGATTTGAAACTTAAATTTACAACAAAATTTTAACTTCTCAAAATCCTTCACATGCTGGTTTGCTGTTCGTTCTTTCCTGCAAACAATAACAAAAACACATTAATAAATATTGAAGTCATCAATTTAGATTTTATAAAATACATAATCAACTTTCAATAATATGTATATTCAATTCCAATACAATTCAAACCATAAACACTACGACAAAGTAGTAGAAAGTAGATGCAATTTTTACCAATTTCATAAATAGCCATCTTAAAATAAGAAATATCAAATCAAACAAGTAGATCTAGATATTAAAATACAAGCTAAGAACATCTAGATGTAAACAAATTAATAACTGATGATGAATTCGAATATAAACAGCAAATGACTTCGAAATTAAACAAAAATTAACATGTTAAAAACGAAAAAAAAAACCCGAAAGCATGTAAATAAATTCAAGAGGAAAATTACCTTGAGATGATGGAGAAGGTTAAAGGAATGATTGTAGGACTGAAGGAAAGGAGTGAAGGAGACACAAGTGAGGCAATGAGACAAGGATAGAGGAAGAAAAACGGCTGTTTGCCTGTTTTAGAAGGAGAATGTGAGGGTTTTAGGGTTTTTCTCTTTTATTAGGTGGATTTATGGGCTTGGGCTTAAGAGTTATTTTCGTTTTTACTTGTTCGTTGGTTTTTTTTTTTTTTTTTTTTTTTTTTTTTTTTTTTTTTTTTTTCGGGTTAGATGGATCATTTTCGGGTTGAAAATTTCAACCTTAACCTAACCCAATAATTATCAGGTCGGGTTCGTGTCGACCCATTTAAGTTTTCGGGTCAGAAACCTCAACCCAAACCCGCTATTTTCAGGTCGGGTTCGGGTCGTGTTTTCGGGTCGGGTTAGTTTTTGCCAGCCCTATGCCTCATACCTCTTTCTAATAACAAAATACACACGTTAGTAACTTCAAGGAAAATAATAATCAAAACAATTAAATTAAATAATTGAAAGAGAGATTTGGGACCAAACCCTTAGAAATTGAACCTTTCACGTCTAGGGCGAAGACAACTTCGAATATGGCTAGGTGTTTCTAGATCTTGCGAATGCGGAATTTTGTATGTGAAAACAAAGTTTTAAGAAAGAAAGAAAGAAAGATGGATGATTAAGGGAATGAGAGGATTAATTAAATGAAAACTGATCGATTGTAGGCGAATGCTAATTAAAACTGACTGTTGATGATAACTGGTGAATGAAAACGGAGTTTTTAATACGTTATTTATAGAGAAAATCAGCCAAAAAGATAAAACAAACAAAACAGAGTATGGCGCACAAAAAACAGAGCTGGCGCCAACTCTGGCTAATTGGCGCCAGGCGCCAGGCCTGGTTCCAGGCGCCAATGATATGGAGTCAGGCGCCAAGCCTGTTTTTAATGCGTTTTCGAAAATCAGATAAGTTTGCCGTACTGGAAGATAAAATCATATATTTTCCTCGAAAATGCTATTTGATTTTAATTAAAACTCTGAAAAGTCAACAAAATTCAATTTATCAATGCTAATTAAATTAGGAATGAGAAGAACCTTCTAGAAGAATCTAGAAGACTAAAACCATTCCTAATTGCATTAGGAATGATAAATCATATTAGGCCCTCCCCTAGATCATTGGGCCGCATATAAGGTTCAAACCGGGCCCAATTTAGTAAATTGGCCATAAATTCCTCAATATTCATCGGAATTGGGCTTATAATATATCGTTGGAAAGCTCTTGTCAAGCCCCATACAACTACACTAATATTGGACCCATATCATTGACTAACCAAACTGGATTGGCTGTTTTCTTAAAATAAGTTTTCAAAAACAGAGAGAAGAGAAAAGAAATTAAAACTATTCGCAACACTAGACTTTCCACACTTTCACTTCATTCGATTATGATTCGACGAGGAAGGTACTCATCACAGGGTTTGGTTTTGGGGAGACACAAATGGGTGTCTACAGAAGCCCCCACTTTGACTGAGTTTGGAGAAACGCAAGTTTTGAAAACAAAAGTCAAAGTAGCGATAGGGACGGAGAATGATTCAGAACGTTATGCGATCCTAAATCACTCTTGTAACGCCGATACCTGCAAAACTAGCGTTAGTTAAATAGATAAAAGAGTTAAGAAACGCGTATCTTGCACCGTCGAGCACACGTCTCTGAAAGTAACCGATTGTTTTGGTGAACTTCTGCAAGCTAGAGAATGCCATCCCGCTTGAAAACTGCTACGCCTGTAACTGCTTCCAATATAGAAGACTGCTTTGCCTGAAACGATCCTCTTCCGCTTTGATAATATTCCACATCCAAGGAAATACCATCGAAGATTGCTTCTCTTGAAACAATCCTCATCCGCATTGATAATATTCCACGTCCAAGGGAATACTATCGAAGATTGCTTCTCTTGAAACAATCCTCAGTCGTTTGTGACAACTCTCCACAAGCTAGGGAACGCCACCTTGCTATTTCGATGTTCACTCGTCTCTGAACAAAGAGCTTCTATTTTTAAATATGTCCACGCGTCTCTGAACAAAGAGCTTCTTTTTTATATGTTCAATTTCCGCTGTGATAGTCTTCGAAAAGATCACTGCCTTTTAATCCTTAATGTTGTCATGCCTGTATGTCGGCGCTTTGCTGCTTGTGAACCAGTATGTCGACAATCCTCTTTTATTTGGGAATAGTTGCGAACACAACTCTTGTATGATGTATGACAATCCGATTTAGGGATGAAGCGACGATGAAGCGACAATCTGTATCTCGGAAAATTTGCCAAAATCCAATTTTTGGAAAAAATTGCCAATGCTTCGTAACAATCTTTCATAAGAACTTTGCTAC